ATCTGGAACTCAGTCTTGACAGCGGATGATAGAATTTAAAATCTTTATTTATGAGGGGTGCATCTAATGTGATTACGATACAATCGGTTATTATTATGCTAATATGCGTCATGTATTTGCCAAAGTAGATTGCCAATTTTTTAAATAAGAGGAACTAGTATAAAAAATCTCTGAATTGTCTTGCCAATCCTCGACTTCTTGCTCATGTATCATTTTGAATCGTTTTGATCGTGAAACGAGTCCGACGATATCAATCTATTGTTATTCGTTTTGTTGAAGAGAAACTGAAGTCAACTGTAACACAGTAAACTGCTGGCTGTAGAGGATAGGCGAGAAAGTGGCAGTGAATTTTTAAAACTTTCCACGTGAAAGTGTAAGTAAAGATGCTGCCTGCGCAATGAACATTCTATAAAATGGCTGTCAACTTTTTTACGAATCATCTCAACTTCTAGAATTACAGATTAACAGATAATTAATAAGTAAATTGAATTGAATGTTTTAATTTGAATGTTTTAATTTTTAAGTTCATACGTTAAACAGTAATAATAAAGCAATAAACTGGAAACGAAGAAGTTGTTAAATGTTAAAAACGAATTTTTGTTTTGTTAAGTGCGGCTATATTTTTCTATGTATTAACTAGACTTAACAGCTTCGATTATCCCACATGTGATAGAAAGAGACAGAAGTAAAGCCGTTGTTTGGTGACTATATGCATATGCATACTGTCTGTGAAAGCACATGACTGAACTAAATGTGTTCACGTACACCATAGGAAAACTCTATATTGTGTGATTTATATCCATATAGCTGCAAGATTTAACAAACATATGTTTATATATCGCAAAATCACTCCGATAAACTTGGGCTTAAGATCTTATTCTGTCCACATGTGTTGCGAGCCTCTATTGTCTGTCTATTATTAATCAATATAAAATAATATTGATTATATTTTCTTAGAATGTACAAAAAATAATAACATATATATATTTTATTTCTAATGTACTTAATCGAATTAGTATATTCTACTCGGTACATTCGATCGAAAATATAAAAGAAATCAGACAATAGAGAACAATTTTACAGGACATCTTATCAAATTTTCGGGGTTTGGTATCAAAATTAAGAAATTTACAAAAAATGGAATTTCATTGATTAATTTGGCATCATCAAGCTTATATATAAATATTAAATAGATTACACGTAGGATTATACATTATTATAGGAATTGGCCAAGTTACAACGGAAATTTCTGTAATGAAGATTGCTGGAATCTGTTGCTGGCTAGTGTGCCATGTCGTTTTTTTCACAACTAAATGTGCTAGGTCAATGCAACAGCGCATAACGCGCTCGTTGCAACAGTCCACGATGAAGACCTGTCATCTACCTGGTGCAGCCAATTAAAGCCATGCCCATCCTCTTCCTGTTCGTTTTTTCGATCTCTACAGCTCGAGCCTCCGCGAATTTCTATTAAAAACTATTGATTTTTAATACTAGCTTGTCATTGATGACAATTATATGCATGATCATAATCCAACTCATAATGTAAATGGAAAGGAAAGAAATAATATAATAATAGATAGACTAGAATAAAATTCTAGTTGTTGGCATTGAAAATTGGGTGTTTAAAATTGCTTTACACTACTTGTAATTATTCTATATTCTATATTCTGTTACATAACATATTAGAATATAATTCGAAAAAAATAACAAGTCAGAAATATAATTTGTCAGTTTTTAAGAATTTAAATTTTCGTGTTTCAAATTTTCAAATTCTTTATAATTCTAGAAATTCTCGACATCATGTTTTTGGAATTTTTAGAAAATTTATTGAATTTTAAATAATGCAACTTGTTTGTTATTATAAAACATATATATTATATATATTAATATATATATATATTATTAAATATTATTATTTATTTTTATATATATATAT